TTCCAAACTTTTTACTGCCCAGCCCCCTACAAAACAAAAAAAACTGGTTCTATTATTTGGAAAGATCAGGATGACACCCCTTTTGAGACTTTAAAGAGAAGGGTGTTTTTTTTTTAAGTTTATTTTTTATTTTTTAGTAATCTCTACACCCAGTGTAGAGGGGTTCGAACTCACAATCCCAAGATCAAGAGTCACATGCTCTTCTGACTGAACCAGCCAAGAGCCCCTAAAGAAAAATTTAATAAAGCCCCCTGCCCTTGGCCATCCTGATTATCACCTTCCTGTTTTCCTTTTTGTATGCAAGAAAGAAGGGAATGCTCCCCCCAAAACATGGGACAACCGTCGACCCATTGGTTCATAGGGTATGGTAGCCAATAGCTGGACCCATGGCTTGAGAATACGCCCTTGCCTCCGAGCTATTCCTGCTGATGCCCTTTTAGTTAAGGTCACTGCCGAAATAGTCATGGGGTCCCCTCTAACCGTCCCGTGCCCCCTACAGCAGAAGCCCTCCAATTCTCCTCATGCTCAACACCTTCTGGCCAGTCGCCTCACCTGCTATGAAACCGTCCTGCTAACTGCTCCTCATGAAGCTCTTTCTCACTGCAATAACCTCAACTCTGCTACTCTCCCCCCTTTCACTGATGAGACCCCCTCACCCCTGCTTGATGCTGATGGATCACCCTTTTGACTCCCCATGACAACTGACAAGAAACTCCTTGAACCAGCGTAGAGTTGTTTGTGGTTTACGGATGGTTCTTATTTAAAGGATGAAAACAGTAAACACTGTGCTAATTGCAACTCTTTCTGAAGTCACGGGGCAGCACCTTGGTCTTTGGCCCCTTCGGCCCCACAGGCTGGGTTACATGCCCTTTCTCGGGCTTGCAAACCACAAGCATTTACACCAACAGCTGGTATATTTTAGGGTTGCTCATGACTTTGGAATATTACGGAAACAATGAGGCATCCTTACCTCCAGTGGGGATAAAATGTTAAATAGCTCCTGTGTCCAAAATGTATTAGATATTGCATGCTTGCAGCTGCTCTGGCTGTTAGTAAGGTTCCTGGGCAGCTAGACCCAACACCCTGGAGGCCAAAGGAAACCACCTTGCTGATGTTTCTATCAAAAGTGCTCAAGGAAGGGGCGCCTGGGTGGCTCAGTCGGTTAAGCGTCCGCCCTTTGGCTCAGGTCAGAATCTCAGGGTCCTGGGATCAAGCCCCTCGTCAGGCTCCCTGCTCAGTGAGGAGTCTGCTTCTCCCTCTCCCTTTGCCCCTCTGCCTGCTCTTGCTTTCTCTCTCTGTCTCTCTCTCAAATAAATAAATAAATAAGATCTTTAAAAAAAATGCTCAAGGAAACCAAGAGCTCAACCTCTGTCATGGTCCAAAGGGATGCTCTTCCAGATGACAATCTAGAAAAAATTGACAAGAGATGCCCAACAACTGGCCCCAGAGAGGGGAAAACAATATAGGAAATGTAATAATCGTTGGTTTGATAAAAAGAGATGACTTTGCCTTGAGCCAAATACAATCCAGTCCTGCCAGACACTCTAAAATTCCCATTGCTAACCATTGTACTGCATTAAATTGTTGGTCTATTGATAAAATGATAGCCTGTAGGAGCCGATACTGGCAGGGAAATATTAAAATGCCCACCTTGCTTGTCCCACCTGTCCAAAATACAGTGCTGGGAAGTCCATCCATACCACCCCTGGACATTTAAAATTGCCAAATGGACCATTCACAGTCTGGCGAATGGATTTTTATTCGGCTTGCCCCGTCCCATGGGTATAAATATGCTTTAGTCACGGGTGGCCTGTTTTCTCACTGGACTGAAGCTTCCCTTGTAGACAGGCCATGGCCTCTTTTGTGGCTAAAATCCTATTTTAAAAAGGTTATTACTACCCGGGGGGCTCCTCCGATGCTTCATAGTGGTCGGAGGCATTTACTTCACTGGGCAGGTGTCCTGACAGGTTTGTGCTTTCGCCAGCCCAATAGCTTTCACCGTGCTTGCCGTCTTTAGTCCTCGGGCCAGTCAACACACTAGGGCATCATTAAGACACAACTGGCAAAATTTGTAAAGACCCTTCCAATACCTTAGCCCAAAGCATTGCCCTTCGTCCTTCTAAATCTCAGATCTGTCCCTTTTGGAACTCACAGACTTTCACCCTTTGAGATAGTCACAGGATGTCCAATGCACTTGGCCCCTGCCTCCTTCGATCCACAGCTAGTAAAAGGAGATCTACTTCCCAATACTATAAAGGCCCAATGGCTTCTATTGAAAACAACCACGCTTTGGTTGATCAATCTCTTTCCAGCATGTTCCCGGGAGATGAAGACGTTAAGCCTCGCACCTTGCAACACAGAGATTATTTTCCTCTACTGGAAAAGACACCTCTATGATTCTCTTCAAGCTCACTGTGGGGGACCCTACCAGGTACCCTTAGCTAGCCCGGGTGTCCCAAACTTCAGGGAATCCACTCCAGGATTCACAGGTCACATCTAAAGAAAGCACCAAAGCCCATTTGCACCTGCACATGGATGGGTGACCTAAAAGTAAAGCTTTCCAGTATTTGAAGCAGATGACGCCTGGTAGACAGCTTCCCCAAGGTGAGTGGGCCGGGCCTGTGTGTACTTGACTCACTGTTGTTTCTTACTCTATTTTCTCCCTCTCTTCCTCGGACAGATAAGGCTCTCATCCGCATTTCCCAGCCATTGCAAAAAAGGCAAAATCGTCAGGTTTGTCCCCAGAAACCTCAATCCGTGTATGACAACAGTGATCCCTTAGTTCACTCTTCGAGTAATTTTGCTGGAATCCCAAATGCCACTGTACGCCTAGATTGTTCCTCGGGTGCCTTTGTAAGGTTAGCGCCCCAAACCCACCTAACCCTAGTCCTTGCTTCTATTTATTTATTTATTTGTTTATTTGTTTATTAAAGATTTTATTTATTTATTTGAGACAGAGAGAATGACAGAGACAGAGAGCACATGAGAGGGGGGAGGGTCAGAGGGAGAAGCAGGCTCCCCGCTGAGCAGGGAGCCCGATGCGGGACTCGATCCCGGGACTCCAGGATCATGACCTGAGCCGAAGGCAGTCGCCTAACCAACTGAGCCACCCAGGCACCCTCTCCTTGCTTCTATTTAATCCAGCCCTGGGTTGGGAAAAAAGATGTCTCAAATATATATTATATAATATATATAATACACACACACACATATATACACACGCACACACGTATACATAGGACACTGCAGGGTGACCAATATAAATAGGGCCATTTGTAAGTTTACTGACATACCCATAAATCTAGGTAGTCTTTCACTATGTAATTAAATAGAGTATCTAAGTCTTGGCTGAATGGTGCTAACCCTTCTATATGGGCCGATGGGTCCACAGTGCTACTACTTACGAGGGAGCCCTCTGCATGTCCCCTGGCTACTCCTCTAAATGTGGAGGTTTTGACAGTGATGTCTATGCTGGGGCAACTCATTGTCTTGACAGCTGGAGGATAGAAGGGCCCTGTGCTCTTGCTGTGTTGACCGGTCTAGTTTCTTTCCACGACAAATCAGAAGCCTCTCATTGGTCTACCCCATTGGTTTTCCACAGCTGCCTTAAACAGGAGCTCCCAGGAGATGGATGTGATTCTGGGTTTCTAATCATGTTTTCACTGGCCCTTGTTCTCTCCCTAATAGGACGCCTGCATGGCTCAGTCATTAAGCGTCTGCCTTCGGCTCAGGTCATGATCCCAGGGTCCTGGGATCGAGCCCCACATCAGGCTCCCTGCTCCGCGGGAAGCCTGCTTCTCCCTCTCCCACTCCCCCTGCTTGTGTTCCCTCTCTCAATGTGTCTCTGTCAAATAAATAAATAAAATCTTTAAAAGAAAAGAAAGGAAATCTCTCCCTAAAAAAAAAAAAAAGAAAAAGAAAGAAAGAAAGAAAAGAAAAAGAAAGAAGGAAAGAAAGAAAAAGAGAAAAAAAGAAATCTCTCCTGAACATCAAGAGGGCAGGCCAATCCCACAGCCAAAAGAGTGGCAGCCAGACAACTTGTTGCCTAAGGTGATTTGAGACAACCCCATAGCCCTTATTTACTTGCTGAACAAGGAAGCATCTGTGTGATTGCAAACACCACCTCTTGCCGCTCGTGGATAAACTCTTCAGGGCAAGTAGAAACCCAGTTGTACGAAATTAGGGAACAAGTACATTGGCTACAGTAAATTTCACCTGAATCTCCATCGTCCTTTCATGTATTCTTGGGCTACCTTCAGGCCTAGGGTCATGGCTCAGACCCATCTTACAATTTAGAGTTGTCATGTTGCCTTTAATTATACTTTGTATAGTTTAATTATGCATTGTGTGGTTTAATTATACTTTGTATAATTACTTTTAAGTTTTGTAGCTTTCGCCTGTCCAATCATCATAGAAACGATGTACCCAATAAGGTGGTGTTATTCAATGCTTTGAAATGATTTCCAACGTGCATGACCTTGAAAAGATACAGACATTAGATGGGAAATGCCTGAGTCCTCCCTCCTACCCCTCTTTGTTACCTGCATGTGGCCTCAGTGGTTTCGGATCTGTGTACTTTCCCTCTGGTGTGGGACAAGACACCCAGGAAAGGCCCTTCCTGTCACCGAGGGACAAAAGTCGCTGGATTTGGAAAACCTGACTCTTGACCAGGGATGCTTGGGGTGGGGGTGGGGGTGAAGATCTTGATCAAAAGGGGTAAATGTGAAATTCAATAAAGAAGACCTCATTTAAGGGCGCCTGGGTGGCTCAGTTGGTTAAGCGACTGCCTTCGGCTCAGGTCATGATCCTGGAGTCCCGGGATCGAGTCTCACGTCGGGCTCCCTGCTCAGCGGGGAGTCTGCTTCTCCCTCTGCTTCTCCCCCCTCTCATGTGCTCTCTCATTCTCTCTCTCTCAAATAAATAAATAAAATCTTAAAAAAAAAAAAAAAAAAAGAAGACCTCATTTAAAATGGGGTGGGCGCGGGAGGGGGGGCTCTCACCTAGGACCAGTCCTCTTCAGTTGCAGACGGCAATGGGAAGACAGACTCCCATTTTACTACCCCGGGAGGAGGAAAGTAGAGATTTTCTCCTCCCTTGCCAATAGCCCAGCCAATGAGGAACTGCCACACTCAGCCAAGGACAGACCATCGCCCCCTGCTTTCAGAGCAGCCCCTCCTGACTCCCCCCCCCCTCTAAATTAGCGTTCCTCTCTAATCCCCTGGCCTTGCCTGTGGCTTTACCACAGCTTGCTGATCTCAAATGATACCGCTTTGCTACTCCTGAATAAACCCACTTTGCTGGTAAAATCACTGCCTGTTTTATTTTGAAGGTGGACAAAGGGTTTGTGCCTCCGAGGCCCACAGCCAAGCAGGGAAAGAAGCAGGATTGGGCAAACACGCAAGTGTCCGGAAAACCGGGCAACTGGTACCCTGGCCCTTGCCAGTGAGCCGACCAGGGCGCGGCCGAAGTTCGCGCATCCCGCCTGCCGCAGGGGTGCCGGGGGCTGGGAGGGCCGCGGGCGGGGGTGAGGGCGGGCGGGGGCCGCCGGCGGGGCTCAGGCTCGGGAGGGGAGGGGGGAGCGCGGCTTCCGGAGCGCAGTGAATCAGCACTGGGGCGGAGCTGGGCGGAGCGGGACGGCCGAGGGCGGAACGACGGGCCTGAGCTGTGCCGCCGACCTCCGCCGCCGCCGCCGCCGCCTCCACCCGCGTTGCAACCAGTGAGTCCCCGCCGCCCGGGCTCCCGGGGGCGCTCCCGGTGGAGGCCGGACCGCCTGCTTCGGGCCAGAGTTCGTGGAAGGGCCTGCACTCCCCGGTTCCCCCATCCCTGCGACGGGATGGGGATCCAGGGGACCCACGAGGCCAGCAGCGCGCGGTTGGGGCCCTGGGTGGGGGGTGGGGTTCGGGCCCTTCCAGCGCACGGGCCTGCTCCTAGGGTCCCGGAGTGAGCAGAGCGGGACGTGGGACCCCAGGGAGAATAGATTGGTGCTGTCTCCCTTCCGTGATACCCTGGCCTCTAACAAACTTGTCTCGGTCTGTTGCAGTGCCGCCCTACATCATTGTCTACTTTCCTGTGCGAGGTAGGGGCCCTGGAACTGGGAGCTGGGGGAGGCAGAGGTTGGGCCTGCCGCCCAAGACCCCAAGACCCCAAGACCCCCACCCCATCCCTCCATTATGTGGGTACTAGCCCGGGCCTCCCTCCCTTGCCCCTGAGCTCCCAAGGCTGGAGTATCCAACCTGCTCCCTGAGGCCTGTCCCCTCCCCAGGGTCCAGCGAGGTCATCGGAGCAGTCCTTGCCCCCGTGGCCCCTCCCCAGCGCGCTGTGAGGCTGGGGTCTCTGCACACATCCCCCCACCCCGTTCTCCCCTCCCCCAGGGCGCTGCGAGGCCATGCGCATGCTGCTGGCTGACCAGGGCCAGAGCTGGAAGGAGGAGGTGGTGACCAAGGAGAGCTGGCTGCAGGGCCCGCTCAAGGCCTCCTGTGTGAGTGACTGCGCCCTGGCAGGGGGCAGGTGCTGGGCCTTCGTGGGGCAAAACCAGGGTGGGGGGCAGCTGAGCTCAGCGTCTCTTACTGACCCATGCCACGCCCCCCCCCAGCTGTATGGGCAGCTCCCCAAGTTCCAGGACGGAGACCTCACCCTGTACCAGTCCAATGCCATCCTGCGACACCTGGGCCGCTCCCTCGGTGAGTCTTGAGGCTGCGGGTGGCCCAGGGCGGGGGGTGGGCAAGCATCAGCCAGCATTCCCGCTTATCTGCTTGGTGCCTGCCCTCTGACCCTCTTGCGCTTAAGTCAAGCTGTCTGGTGACGCCGTGGAAGGGAGGCAGGAGGAGGCACGAGGAGGTTGTATAAACTGCCCACGGCCGAGCCCAGGTCTGCCCGCAGCTCTTGGACTCTGCCACGCTGCCTCTCGCCGAGTTCCGAGCACTTACTGTGCATCAGGACTGGCCCTTCTGTCCCCGTTCTCCTTCCGCCTCCCTGGCTGTGCCCACAGGCAGCCACATGCCTGTCAGTAGCGTGTCAGGTGTCAGTCCTGCATTTTGCTCTCCTGCTGCGCAGGGCTGTACGGGAAGGACCATCGGGAGGCAGCCCTGCTGGATGTGGTGAACGATGGTGTGGAGGACCTTCGCTGCAAATACGTCATGCTCATCTACACTAACTACGTGAGTCCGGGCACTGGGGGTGGGCACGGGGGAGAATGAAGGAAGGCTTCCTGTATTCTCGCCCTGCTCCTCAGCCCTCATGCAGCTCTGGCCCACCCCTCCCTCCAAGTCAGGGTGTCCCGGGCTAGGTCGGGCTCTGTGCTGAGGACCAGGAGCTGCTACGGACGAGACCTAGCTCTCACCCTAACTGCCAGCTGATGGACCCAGTCAAGTAGCGGTCAATGGCATGACCTGCAAGGGCAGGAAACCTCGAGCCAGACGTGTACCAGATTGCCTGGGCTGTGGAGGGCAGGGCTTCCTAGAGCAGGTGGAGGGGGAGGAGAAGGATCTGTAGCCAGCCTCCAGCAAGGGGTGCTGGCACCTCGGGGGGCATAAAGCATGAAGACACTGAGTACATTTGGGGGCCTGGGACCAATTTAGCAGAGGCAAGGCATGTGTGTGCCTGTCGAGAGGGAGAGGGAGAGAGTCAGGAGTTGGAGCTGGAGGGGAGCGGGCCCAGGTCCTGAGAACCTTGAACCGTCTGGCTGGATACTCCCCTGCTGGCAGTGGGGGGGCCACTGAGGAGTCTAAGCAGGGCCGTGTCCGAATGTGGGTCTAGGAGGATATATATATATTTTTAAAGATTTTATTTATTTATTTGAGAGAGAGCACAAGAGGGGGTAGGGTCAGAGAAGCACATTCCCCGCCAAGCAGGGAGCCCGATGCGGGGCTCGATCCCGGGACTCCGGGATCATGACCTGAGCTGAAGGCAGTCGCTTAACCAACTGAGCCACCCAGGCGCCCCTAGGAGGATCTTCCGAGGCCTTTGGAGTAGTCCAGGGAGATCATGGAAGAGGTGGAAAGGTGGGAGTGGGGTAGAGAAGACTCAGCGGCTGACCTGGATAGGATGTGGCAGTAGCCGGGGGGTGGGGGGGATGAGCAGAGGAGCATGGGGGGCCCCAGCCTGGGTGGGTGGCAATTCACTGAAATGGGGCAGAGAGAAGGGGCATCTCCGGGCTGAGGTAGGGGCTGGGGCAAGCAGCAGTGCGAGGGTCAGGAGGGTAACACGGCGGTGTCTTTCTGGCAGGAGGCAGGGAAGGAGGAGTACTTGAAGGCACTACGAGGGTACCTGAAGCCTTTTGAGACACTATTGTCCCAGAACGAGGGGGGCGAGGCCTTCATCGTGGGCAACCAGGTGAGCATCTGGCCCTGTCCTGCCCCTTCTGCACCATCCTCTTCTTAAAGGTGGAAAACAGGTACAGAGGGGACTCATAAACCCATTACTCAGCAAAACTAGGCAAGACTTAGGGAACACCTCCGGCTCCCTGTCCCTGAGTCCCCGACCCCCTGTCCTGCAGATCTCCTACGCCGACTACAACCTGCTGGACCTGCTGCTGATTCACCAGGTCCTGGACCCCAGCTGCCTGGACTCCTTGCCCCTGCTCTCAGCCTATGTGACGCGCCTCAGCGCCCGGCCCAAGCTCAAGGCCTTCCTGGCCTCCCCCGAGCATGTGAACCGCCCCATCAACGGCAACGGGAAACAGTGAGAGCTTGTGGAAGCCCCCCGTGGGAAGCGGGGGCTGCCTTCCTTCCTTTCCCCAGGACCAATAAAATTTCTAAGCAAGAAGCAGTGCTGTGAGCATCAAATTTCTTGGGGAGGGGCTCTCAGACCCTCAGCAGTCAGGTTCAGGGGAGGGACGGGGCAGCCAACCAGGATGCTGGAATCCTAAAACACATTGGAATTTGTCCTTAGAGCCCTCAACCCAGGCTGTGTTTAGTGAACTCCAGGAGTAGGAATAAAGAGACAGAAAAAATAAAAAGACAGTAAGAAAAGTATGATTTCTGCCCTGGAGGTGCCCACAGTCTAGAGGGAGGACAGGCTCCCGTATATAAACATGCTTTCTAGTTTCAGCAGGTCACCTGCCACGGGGCCTCTGCGCGGGACCGAGAGCCCAGGAGCTGAGGGGCCCAGGGGCCTGGGGGGAGGAGGGGTGTGAGCAGGAGCTCAGGAGCTCCAGGCAGCCCAGGCTGGGTTGGCGAGAGGGTCAGTCACTTCTGCTCAGGCGGGGCCCTCCTGGCTTTCTCCTGCATTTTGGGCACAGGGCGGTCCGGCTGGCTCTCCCACCGCCTTCTCTCACCATCCACGTTAGTCGGGCAAAGAGAAACAACGCAGCCTGGGAGGTTGGTGGCGGCCTGTCTGCAGTGGTAGGAGGCTTGTTCATGGGTGTCCATCACAGGAGACCGGCTGCATCGGAGGCCCACGCCCCATGGATTATGCTGCCATTCGAGAGCCTAGGGAGGCCTGGAGCAGGCTTCTCTGGCTCAGAGAGGCCTGGGGCAACCGAATGCAGCCCTCTTTGCGAGAGACCTTTTCCTACCATTCACCGGTGGGCCGGGAGAATGACCCTTCCCTGTTCCCCTTGCAGTTGGGAGGGGCCCTCTGGGCCAGACTCCCGTGCTGGCCGCTGCCAGGGCAAGAACCCGACACTGTCCCCCGCTGTCTCCACGCCCTGCACAGGGACAATGTGGAGCAGAGCCCCCACTCGTGTGTGGCGGACCATGGTGTGGTTGAGCAGTGACCTTGTGGTTTTACCCTAAGTGCCAGTGTTTAAAGCTGCTATCACTACAGCATGATCTGGCCCATCCTGTCTGGTCCGCCCTTGGTTCTCAGGCTAAGGGCATCTGGTCCCCTCCCAGCTTCGTCCCGCCTCCGAAGGTGATCTCGGAGGGGTTGAGAGAGAGGGCTGTGGGAGTACTCTCCCAGCACCGAGACCGGGCCCCCCGGCCCCCAGACCAGACCCTGAGAGTGGTCAGCGATGGGCAGCTCAGACGATTCCCTCATTTGGGAGTGGAGGAAGACCCCCGGCTGAGGGAGGTGACTGGACATGGGGCTCCAGGCCAGGAGAAGGTGCAACAGACGGATGAACCCTATCCCAGGGCTGTAGGCACAACGGGGGCTGCTTCTGGGGGCAGCGCCTGGCCTGAAGACCCTGGCCCCGTGATTTGGC